ATATATTAAAATGTAATTGTCATCTTTGATAATAGACAAGTTTATCTATTTATTTTAAAAGTTTATATCAATACATTTTAAACATGTATCAATATGAACAGATTTTCATTATTCTTTCCATGTATTGTTAATATATTAAATAATTGTCATCTTTGAGACAATATGAAAGGAACTTAAAAATAAATAGACAAAACTTGTCTATATTATTTAATGAAACTTGTTATTAATATCAGATATATTAAAAAATAAATCACAAATTGTTTTATTTTTAAAAACTTGTGGATTTTTTTATTTGAATATATATATATATATATATATATATATATATATATATATATTTTCCATAATTCTGCTACACACGTTTTTGGTTTTGCAACCATCTTCAAGCTTCTTTCTTGGACTGGTGATAAGATATATATATATATATATATATATATATATATTGCATATAGATCTTGTTAATATTTTGTTCTTTTGCAAGAAAGACATTTGAATCACTTTATGTGAAGATTGTCATGAAACCAGAAACATGTGTAGCAGAACTATGGAAAATAGAGTATAATATATTTATTAAAATAAAATAAAATAAAAAAAAATCCACATTTCAACCAAAAACGTTTGCGGTTTATCTTTTTAAAATCACCTAACTTATCAGCTATCCTCACCTCTACCAAATATCTAAACAATAGAAACCAAACAGGAAATTACAAATGTAACAAACCTCGTTGCTTAGTTTGCAAACATTTAGTAATAGCTAATACATTTTACGTACCCAACACCAATATCAGGATACAGCCACCTAACCTCACCTGCGATACCCATAACGTAATCTATTATTTATTCTGCAACTTATGTCCTAATAGTGGATATATTGGTGAGTCTGGAAACAATTTTAGATTTCGTTTTAATAACCATAAACAAACAATACGTCAAAACAACCCTTATTCCCCATAGCTAAACACTACAATCAATCAGGACACACATTAGAAAACTGCAAATGTTTATTAATAGATTCCGATTTTACTTCCACATTCACACGCAGAAAAAAAAAAAACATATTGGATTTTAAAATTAAATACACATAAATTAGGGTTGAATAGAGACTTAGGTGTTTTAAATCTTTATAAATATTTCAATAGCTAAGCAATTTCTTTAGATATAGTAAAAAAAAAAAAAAAAAAAAAAAAAATTTTTTTAAATATTTATGACAGTTAGATTTAAGTTAGGAATATCTGAACAGTGACGTTCGCGTCTCTCGAAGGACGCTACTTGCCAACAAACAGTAATTTTAATTTATTTGTAACAAACAGTTATTTCTGATGAAAAATTGAGGACAATTTGAAATATCAAATATATATATAAATAAATAAATACTTTCATAAAATAAAACATTATAATTTTTAGTTTGAAACTTTTTATATATATATATATATATATATATATATATATATTGTGCGTATTTAGGCAGCTTTTTTTCATTCATACATGTTTCATTAAATAACAGACAAGTGTTGTCTATTTATTTTATGTAAAGTTTAATGATAATGTTATTAAGCTTATCAGATGTTATGAAAAGACAACACTTGTCTATATTATTTAATGAAACATGTATGAATATATATTATTATATTATATAGTGTGCAATGGATAAATTATCATCTAAATTACACAAAAATGTTCTTGTGTGATGCTTTAAACAGCTTACAGTCTCACAACAGTAGTAAATAGGAACTGGTGCCAGTAATGTTAAACTTTCATATTGCAATGGAATCTGAGAAGTGAGTATTCATCACGGATTTTTTTTTTTTTAATTTTTTTTTTACACCTTAACCCTTTGCAGCTTATTTAATGCCAGAAAAAAATTATTTTAGAGATTGTAATTTTTTTTTTTAAGATTATTTTTGATCTAATTAATCCATAATTGGGAGAAGAAAAATAGATTCATACTCTTCCCAAGGGTATTTGCATATAAGTGAATATAATGAACCTCACTGGAATTGGAACTTGGCTCTTAGGTTTCTAATTCCAAGTCATTATCTATTACACCACCCACACATCCAAGCTTATAACATGTTATTTTTAAGCAGTACAGTACCAACATGTTTTCATATTTCAGAGATATTCTTGTGATGAAGTATAATGCTTTTACAACATTTTTTTCACACATGGTCAACACTTAAATGATTATGTTGTCCTTAGCATCATTTGTGTTTATAAAAAGTGTTGGGAAAGTGTTGGGAAAGTGTTGAAAAAAAAAAAAAAAAACAACAACACTTAATTTTAGCCCAACAGATTTATACAATATTCACATGGAAAAAAGGGTTTTCAATTAAGTATACTTTAAAAAAAATTTCTTAAGTAGTTTGAAGGTGCCCTGGCACAAATTAAAGGAGTATAAGCCCCACTCACACCGTGTAGCAAAAGATAACGTTATAAAGAAATTAAATCTGGTTTTCTAATACACTATCATTTCCAAAGATCAATGTGAGAATGAGTTATATCAAACAAAATACAATCATCACGTTAATGAATCTGCAAACAAGATAGAGAATTTTGATTACAGATCTGTAAAAATTTATAAACTTAAATATTTCGAAAACACACACACTACTAAATATTTGAAAGGAAATCTTCAGTCATGAAAAATAGATGCAAAAAAAGTGTCAGTATTTGCAGAAAAGTTAACTTCTAAAAACAATCACACTGAAGTAGCAAAGTAGAAACAAAAATCTTTTGTAAAAGACTAATTTCTTTTAAGCTGTTTTATACAAACTCATTATTACTTTCTTCCATTTCATTTTTTTTTTCTTCTTTGTATCGTCATCTCATTCTTTTAATATTTTGATATCCATTTTTTTTACACTACGATTATAATTGTCATTGACACTAAAAAGCACAACTAACCACTTATTACATAGATAATGATTCTGGAATTATCTTCTATTTAAGCTTTTGTGGTAGAAGAAGTTGTTAATATCAGCTTTGCTTTCTTTAATGATATGTTGTGAGGATAAGAACGAAGCCTACATTTAAGCATGACGTGGAGTTGGAATATGTAAGTGAAAAGAGTCTAATAATAATAAAGCTACTCATGATCCTGCTGCTACTATTAATAATATAATAGGGTATTAAATATAAATAATTTATTAAATGATTAAATGCAATGAATTTTACTGCAAATTGATTTTGAATTTAATAGTTGAGATTGGACCCATGTTGAATCTACAATGATTGTTTTTTTTTCTTTCTATGCCTAAAATAAATCTTATGAGAACATGGGTCTCCATGGTAGAGTGTTACTACCAAAGAAAATAGTAAGTACATATTATACAATATTATAATTTGACGATTTCATATGAAACTGCATTGGATATTGTATTAATGCTTTTATTCTTCATTTATTTTAAACAGACACAAAAACAAATAAAAATTGAAAAAAAAAAGAAAAAAAAGACTTAACAGATTTTTGGTAGTAATGGACATCACCTTTCTCTATTGCTATATCATTCAAGGATTTTCTGTAGTGTTAAACTTCCAGATCTCAACATGACCAAAGTGACAAGAATAAGAGCTACTGAAGAGCTATAGTGAAAAATTTTGAGATACTGGATTAGTCTAATAAAAAAAAGCAGATTTAAAATCCAGAGAAATAGATAATTAAAAAATTTGTGACAGGTAAACAAACATGATTACTTTGCTAATTATAAGTTGTCAAGATACTCTGTGACTAAGAAAAATATAGATTTCATATTATTTTTAAGATTGGAACAATGTAGAAAACTTTCAGATTCATGTATGTATAAAGAAAAAAACTCGGAATAACATTAGTCACCTTTTTAATAATAGTCATCAACATGCCATAATTCTTAAAGGCAGAATCTTGTTTTATATAAAGGTAGATGTTTTAAAAAGCAAAAAAAATATATATAAAAATGAATTAAACAGCATCAGACTTAAGGAAAAAGCAAAAAAAACAAAAACAAAAAAAAAAAACAAAACAAAACAAAAAAAAACATCCTGACACGTGGAAACAATACAAATATTAAGTTTTTTTTAAATTTTTGCCTCTGACAAAAATTTTTGTTTGCTTAAAAAAAAGTGAAAAAGGTGAATAAAGGGTAGAGTAAAGGGCAAAACGTGAAGAAAAAGAAGAAAGTGAAGAAAAAGAAGAAAGTGGTGAAGAAGAAAGAAAATGCAAATAGAAGTCATCAAATATCTAACACATTTTTATTACTTGAAATGTTATTTTTGTGAATATCTGCATTTGAGTAGAGGTTCCACTTTTTCTTATTTTGAACAGTATTTATTTCATCTACCATCATGCACTCTCAAGAAAACTTATTAAAAGAAGGATTTTCTCCCTCTTTAATTGCTTTCTTTACATTTCAGATATGAAACTGAGAAGATAGTAATCTTAAGAGTGCAGTTAGGTAGACAAAATAAATACTGTTTAAAATAATGATGATTAAAAAAAAATAAAAAGAAACATTAATTCTATAAAACTGTGTGTGTGTGATAATGAATGCATCGTCTTGTCAGAAGAATGCCATCTCTTCAGTGATCACTGCATGACAATATGCACACAGATGACACTTCAGCCCAATTTTGCATGATTATTTGAAGATGTGACATTTTGTTAGGCCTGTATATGTCACCATGTCTTCATTAAATACTAATAACAAAAGCCAAAACAAACATTTATAATTACTGTTAGATTTGAAAAAAATAACACACTGTGACTATAGGTAAACTAAACATTTTATTAAAGAAATTTTCAGAGAGATTTATTGTCACATTCAAGTTATTTGCATATAAATGTGGAACAATAAGTTTGATGACAAGTTCAATGTTTTTTTAATCCTGAAGAAATAAGATAAGCTATATCAACATCGTAAGCAAAATGCAAATATAAATTCATTGATTTGATAGTTGACTGATAAGCAACAAAATCTATTTCTGCTTGCTGTGAAAATATTATGAGTGTAAGAAAACAGATAATGTTATTTTATGTACACAAGAAATTTAATTAATACTGTGCATATCACAAGAGAGAGTGAGCTTGTAGTTAGCAAAAAAAAAAAAAAAAAAAAAAAAAAATTTTCAAAATTGGAGGTAGAAAGGGAGGAAAAAAGAAAAAAAAGGAGGAAAAAAAAAGAAAGGGAGGAAAAGGGAGGAAAAAAAGAAAAAAAAGGAGGAAAAAAGAAAGAGGAAAAGGAGGAAAAAGAAAGAGAGGAAAAAAGAAAGAAAAAGGGAGGAAAAAAAGAAAAAGGAGGAAAAAGAGGAAAAAAAGAAAGAGAGGAAAAGGAAAAAAAGGAGAGGAAAAGGAAGGAAAAAAGAAAGAGAGGAAAAGGGAGGAAAAAAAGAAAGAGGAAAAGGGAGGAAAAAAGAAAAGAGGAAAAAGGGAAAAAGAAATCTAAGGAGGAAAAAAGAAAGAGGAAAAAAGGAAAAAGAGAGAGAAAAGGAGGAAAAAAAGAAGGAAAAGGAGGAAAAAGAAAGAGAGGAAAAGGAAAAAAGAAAGAGAGGAAAAGGAGGAAAAAAGAAAGAAAAAAGGAGGAAAAAAGAAAGAGGAAAAGGAAAAAAAGAGAGGAAAAGGAAAAAAAAAAAGAAAGGAGGAAAAAAGAAAAGGAAAAGGGAGGAAAAAAGGAAAAAGGAAAAAGAAAAAAAGAGGAAAAAGGGAGGAAAAAAGAAAGAGAGGAAAAGGAGGAAAAAAAAGAAAAAGGAGGAAAAAGAAAGAGGAAAAAAGAAAAAAGAAGAGAGGAAAAGGGAGGAAAAAAGAAAGAGAGGAAAAGGAAAAAAGAAAGAGAGGAAAAGGGAGGAAAAAAAGAAAGAGAGGAAAAGGAAAAAAAGAAAGAGAGGAAAAGGGAGGAAAAAAAAGAAAGAGAGGAAAAGGGAGGAAAAAAAGAAAGAGAGGAAAAGGGAGGAAAAAAAAAGAGAGGAAAAGGGAGGAAAAAAGAAAGAGGAAAAGGGAGGAAAAAAGAAAGAGAGGAAAAGGAGGAAAAAAGAAAGAGGAGGAAAAAAAGGAAAAAAGAGAAAAGGAAAAAAAGAAAGAGGAAAAGGAGGAAAAAAAAAAAAGAGGAAAAGGAGGAAAAAAAAAGAGAAAAAGAGAGGAAAAAAGGAGGAAAAGGGAGAAAAAAGAGAGGAAAAAAGGAGGAAAAAAGAAAGAGAGGAAAAAAAAAAGAAGAGGAAAAAAGAAAAAAGAAAAAGAGGAAAAAAGAGAAAAAGGAAAAGGAGGAAAAAAAGAAAGAAAGAAAGAGGAAAAGGGGAGGAAAAAAGAAAGAGAGGAAAAGGGAGGAAAAAAAAGAGGAAAGAGGAAAAAAAAGAAAGAGAGGAAAAAGGGAGGAAAAAAGAAAGAGAGGAAAAGGAGGAAAAAAGAAAGAGAAAAGGAGGAAAAAAAAAGGAGGAAAAAGAAAAAGAGGAAAAAGGAGGAAAAAAAAAAGAAAAGGAGAAAAAAAGGAGGAAAAAGGAAAAAAGAAAGAGGAAAAGGAGGAAAAAAGAAAGAGAGGAAAAAGGAGGAAAAAAGAAAGAGAGGAAAAAGGAGGAAAAAAAGAAAGAGAGGAAAAAGGAGGAAAAAAAGAAAGAGAGGAAAAAGTCACAATGCTTTTTTTGGGAGATTTTAAATTCATTTAGATTGGTTGCACCCAAGGCTTATAGGACCCAATCTGTTCTGGTATTTACCTACAGCTGGGGAAGAAGAAATGGATTCGTACCTTTGCAAAGGGTATATGCATGTAAGTGAATGTAATGAACTTGACTGGAATTTGAACTCTGCTCTCTGATACCTCAGTCAGAGTCACAATTGATTACTCCACTGTGCACATACTATATATATATATATATATATATATATATATATATATATACACACACACAATAGTAACAACATTAGTGTAGAAGAGGAAGGTAAAATTTCTTTCAGAATATTATCCTTCAGGAAATGTTTTATTGTTGTAATGAGGTAGTCACTGAAGTAATGAAAAATTATTGCTAATACAACATGTATTTGGTAAAATGAACATATAATTAGAGAGATTATATAACAGGATATATTTTATGCTCTTACTGTTGAAAGGAACTGTAATTACAGCAATTGTCAAGAAAAGTGAAGTGTTCACAGGGAGATGAGAAAATTGCTGTACATAAAGTCGCAAGTGATTATAACCAATTTAACCCAAACCTGTCTCTTTTTTTTGTAGAAAGCGAAAAACCAGTTTATGATCTCAATATTATTTACTAAATCCGAGTTGCTGGTAAAGTTTGTCTACACAGCTGCAGAATTATGCATAAAAAGCTTTTTACACATTCTATAATATCCAAGAAACATTTGTGCAAAGAAAGACTATTTCCAGCATTGTTACTATTTCTTATTTGTGACATTTTCTACTGACAAGTGGAAAGATTATATTGAATCAAATTACTAGGAAAGTTGGTTCACTGTTGTGCTCAACAATTTTTCTCATCAGAATTGATCTTACACATTTATAAGTCTACAATTTGTTTATGTATTGAATATTATGATGACATCTGGTCTGGTGTTTCTGCAATGTAATTAGAGATTCTTGATAAAATACAAAGTTAGTATCTGCAATGTTACTGGTTCTGATCTAACATCTTGGCTTTAGTCTCTTTCCCCACCACTGCTTCTCGGTATATTTTCTATAAAAATCTTCATAGTAATTGTTCTGATGAGCTTTTCTCATTTACATCTCAACTTTATGAATTTAAGTGCAGTATGGTAAGGTCTTATTTTACAGATGAAATGGCTAGATGTAATTAAGTTCTATGCTAACAGTTTCTTCTCTTGCACTTCTCATTTGTAGAACTCCCTTCTGGCTTGTTTTCCAGTCAACAATGTCAATCGTCTTAATTCCTGTTTTCTTTCTTACTCTTTCTCCTTAATGTTTTCTTTTTCCCCCCATTCTCTCACACTCAGTAACGCCTTGCATCTCAGTGGCTTTATTGTCTTGTTTGGGTGGTGTAACCCCCCCCCCAAACAAAAACAAAACCCCTTTTTGTTTCAACTAATGATCTGTTCCTTTGATATTATAAACATTATTCAAGAGCTTTGGTTTTCCTGATATACTACAGATGCCTGTAGCAAGAATGGTAAGACAGGAAAGTGAATACTTTATGTACATCCCAGTTGAGTTATTTTCCTAACTCAAAAAGAAAAGTACTGGACCATAAACTTAATCCCACTCTAACTGCAATTTTCCTAAATCACCAGAGTACCATACAGAATAAGTCACCTTCATGGCAGCAATAAGGATTTCTTTCCAAGAAACATGTGACAGTTGTACTGGATTACATGATATCAGCAGCAATTCCTTGGCTTATCAAATGACCAAGGTAGGTTCCATTTGCAAGGTTACAGGGCTCCAACCTCCCTAAGATTTATCCATAGCTGGGGGAGAAGTAGATTTAATGCCTTACCCAAAGGAATTAATGCAAAATTAATGTAAATGGTTTCAGCTGGAGTTTGAACTTGGTTTGCCAGTTGCATTCTGAGCTGTTAACCATTTGACTACCCACGCTAACAGGTTTCAACATAAATAATATGCAAATACTTATAAGAATAGTTACAAAGTGAAAAAGACAAGTGAGAAAACCTTGTACAGATGGTCATAGTCTTTTTTAGTTAACTTGCAAAAAAAAAAAAAACAAAAAAAAAACACACAACGACCAGTTGCTCATTTTTCAAGTACACCCATCAGCTAGGGCAACTGGCCAATCTATTGCAGATGCCTGCTCAGACACATTTGTGTTTGTTGAACACCCACAGAGCCCACCTGTGGTTTATACAGCAAGTATACCAAGAAAACCTTGCACTCATAATTCCTGATTAAGCACACACTCTGGCATTATGAACAATGCTAGTAAATTCAAAATTTTGGTCACTGTGACTGTGTTAGTTAAAACATTAGTTTCCCTCTATCCAATTTCACAAGACTTGCTATGGTTTTCAGACACTTTCCAAAGTTCCTGAAAACAATACCACACACACACTTGGTAGTTGAGGTAGTTGCATGTTCATAACTGGCACCAGTAAGAAGCTTTCATGTAATATGACAAGATTTCAATTTTTTTTTTTCATATCAGGCTGCACTGCTTCTACTATATGTAGATATGTGGTGTGACTAAACTTTGCTTATTAAATCTCTATAACTCACTTTTAGTAGTTAGAGTCAAAGTAGCTTCCCCAAAAGCAATGCAATTTAACATTGGCAAGAAAAGTTATAATGTCCAAACCAGGAAGTTCGACATTTTTAGTGATAACTTTATCTGTGTATATTTCTGGGAAGAGGCACTGTAACTATTTACATTGTTCAGACCGTTGTCATTTTTATTGCTATATTTATTCATGTTTCGGGCGGGTGGATAAAAGTGTTGACCGAGTAATCCAAAAAGTGACTAAACCGAAAGAGTTGTGAGTTCAATACCTAGCTACAGCAGAAGGAACAAAACTTTTTTTTTTCTTTACTTTTCCCTTTACGTTTTCTTTCCTTCTTTACTTTTTACTCTTAAGATAAAATAAAAAAAAAAAAATATATATATATATATATATATATATATATATATATATATATATAAAGGGAAGGGGTTATAGCATATCAACGAAAGAAAAGCGTATATTTTAAAAAGATAAATCCCAAAAATGGCATGGCAAGTGAAATTATAACAATCTACCCCATAGACTAAAAGTGGTTCACCTGAAGACACCCAGAGCATACAATGGCCCAAATGTTGTGAATATGGTAATAAAGATGAGGACAACAGTCCGAATGATGTAAATAGTGTGATAACTTTGTTATCTAGGTACAGTTAGATTAACATTTTTAAATGCCTATTTCTTCACTCACCAAATGGGCTTATTTATATAGGTACTGGCTTTCAGATGGGTCCACAAAGAAATCAGTTAATAGGCAACAGTGTCTAAGATGAACTAGACTTCATGTAAAAAGAATGTTACACAGTCACAATATGATACTGACCAAGTAAAAGAAAAAAATAATTTGCAGTTTCAATTACAGGGAAAGATTGCTAAAACTTCCCCTTCCTCAATTTATAGACAAAGCACACAGATGCATGCTGGGATTTCTTCCTAGCCAATAAGAGGCCACTTCTCATTCTCATCAGATTAAGTTCTGTTCTGTTCTTGAAGCCAGAATGCTGCAATCACTTGTCTGTATCCCCTTTTGTGTGTTGACACCATTCTTAGCTTGTGAACTTTTTACCTAATTACTGTTGCTTTGCCTTGCATATATTGTTTGCTTGATTAATATTTTTTGTCCCGTTTTCTTTTTCTTGTTATTGCAAACTTAGTTAATTCTGATTGTTGGGTATTTCTGCCAATCACATTTAATCAAGCCGAATTACTCTATGATAAATCTGCTAAAACTGTACATTTATATTGATTGTGACAGCTTTAGTGTTTTCAGATTGTAAAATTACAATTGAAGAGATTTTTAGAATTTTAAGCACCAAAAGAAAAAAAAAAAAAATAAAGAAAAAAGAAAAAATTGTTTTTTATAGACACACACGGCTGAAAAACGTGACTTTGTACTTCTGCGCAAATCTTTTAGGAGGAAAGAACGGCAATGAGCAACAATAAAGACATTTTTATTAATCATAGAATTCAAATGATAGTAATAAAGTTAAAGAGGATATATTTGGTAATATTGGAGAGGAGAAAAAAAAATATCTGTTCAATTTACATGAATAGTGTCATTAGGGACTGAATAGTGAATCTCCTAATTTCAAGTTACATGTTCTGTCAATTAGGCTGTTTTCTTCAAAGTGAAATTGAGGTTTTAGAAATGTGTTTCAGCCTTTATAACTCAATCCCCTTCAGTATTTAACCAGAGATTAAACAAAAAAAAAAAAAAAAAAAAAAAAAAAAAAGAAGCAATTGCAAAGTGATGTAGAAAGTGTATCCCATCAAGTTACCATACACACATGCATTCAGCAGTTTAAGGGCAGTTGAAATTGGTTCCATTACTCTTAAGGCTTTTAAATATTTTTTTTTAATTAAAAATTATTTCACTAATAAATTGTGATTTTGCATTTTAAAGAGACTTTTAAAAAGGAAATTAAGAAAGTGTTACGTGTAGCTAAATAGAAAATTCTTGATACTAAGCACGAGCAATAAAGAATAATTTTAAATTTTCTGATATCAAAAGTACATATTTGGTTATGTTGGAAAGGAAAACAAAAAAATTAAAGGGAATGAGTAACAGTAAAATAGCATTTCAACTAAAAATTTCTTAAATTCTAAGATTTATTATCAAACTCCTTTTTAGTATATAAAATCACCTGAAAAACAACTATATAAAACGATTGTAATTCATACATTATGTAAAACGATTTACATAATTCTTTAACAAATACGTGAGGAGTTATTTGGATTCAATAATTATAATTATCTAAATCAGGTTTTTCGAAACTTCTTGCATTGACGACACTTTAAAAAATGAAATTTTTTGTTCCCAAAACCCCTAAAATATGTCATTTAAGATTTATATCAATATAATGAAAAAAAAAAAAAAAAATAATTACACAATTATGTGCCATACAAATTCCAACATTCTAAAAATTATCAGAAATATACATTGTAACATTTGTCAGT